TGCAAAATTTCACACTTTCTGCCGGATGTGAACATTTTGACCTCTTTTTGTTACATATCTGCCCCACTATGGCTGGAAAGTGGTTTTGCGCAACTTATCAGATCGTGCGCTTTGAGTGGCGCCACCGTCGTTGTAATCAAACTGTAGTCATTAGTTTTAAAACATTAAAAAAAAAATATTTCTAATGGTGATTGGACCATGAAACTTTTCATGTAGCGTAATTATAACCTAAATTAGCTGAAAATAACCCTAGAACCTAGAGTAAACTCTTCCTTTGAACAACGTAACAGTGCTTCACGCTGCACTGATAATCGCGATAACAGCGAACCAGATAACTTATAACGCAAGCTACATATATGAGAGAAATACAGATCCACGGCATTTACGAATGCAGGGGAATTATTCGTAAGCTAGTAAGAAACAATAAAACTATAACCGTACAGTTAACCGAATATAACGGTGTTCTGTTTCACTGGTACAGCCTGTTATACGCTACTGCATCACCGTTCTGCCTAACGGCAGGAGCGAACAATGAATCCACACAACTAAACACGCGTTATTATCTATATAACGCCTGCCATACCATAGTCGGCTACCCCTAGGGCCACTACACTAGTTGTATTCAAATCGGGTATCTTGTTTCTAGCAGGGAGTTGAGCCTGAGGCAAGTCAACATGGGTAAACACTCGTTTCCATCCCTCAAACCGCCCTCGGTTGTTTTCTGTGTGCAGGTTAAACTCCGTTAAATTGACTGTATTATATTTTAAAATTAAGTTTTGAGTTCTTAGATGCTTTATTCATCTTTGTTTGAGTTCTTAGATGCCTTATTCATCGTTGGTTTGGTTTTTGTTTGCATTGAACTTTTGTACATATGACGGGGCCATATATCCATTGTAGTCTTGTAGTCACATAGTCTACAGTACATTGGCAAGTTGTGTTTTGCCTGCGCTTTGGGTCCAGTAGGTGGATTCGAGGGCTTGAGTAGGTTGTCATACACGCAGGGAAAAAAATAAAATTTATTTATTGGGGGCTACTTTTCAAGTTCGCGTGCATGAAAATAACACTCTAAAATTTGGTTTGCATTGAACTCTATGCAAATTTACGGGGGCTCTTTTTGGCATTTCCGTGGCTCTTTTTGGCATTGGGGGGATAAATCGCCCCGAGCCCCCGTGTATTTTTTTCACTGCATACACGTGTAGCTAAGTATATATATATATACAGTATTACAGTTTATTAGCTCATCTGACATAGTCAGATGCATAGTCAGATGCAGCTTGTATAGTCAGATGCAGCTTGTAGAATCGCATGAGCGTGCGTGCGTCCGTGCGTGCGTCCGCCAACAGTTGGGCACAAATCT